GGACTTCAGTAATTGGTAGGCAGCTGGGATCTATCAATTATCAGGGTCAAGTCGGCACACTGCATTCCAGGACAAATTGTGAACCAAAGAAATATCTTTCCCACCTCCTTCATATATGCCTCCTTTGCTTCTAACTTCAAAGATGAGGGAAGAAAGAGCAGGAAGAAGAAACTGATTACATTTGTATCTGTGGAGCCAAGATTAGCCAAGTGCCAGCATAGCTCTGCTTTTGTTTTCAGTGTGGTTATCACAAAACAAAAACAAAAAGATAACTCCTGCACTGGAGCCTGATTATTTAAAAACAGACTTGAATATTTCCTCCTCTTTCAATAACTAAGAAGACATCCTTTGTTTTACTTATCTATAAGGCACTTGCTTGCTGATACCAGACTATAGGAGAGTTTGACAGTCTGTTAGTCTATCTGAAGATGCTGTTTCTGTGTTACTCTAGAAGCTTCTCATGGCTTTTTTCATTTGCCAAAAATCAGACAGAGAATTTTCTTTTTCTTTCTCTCTCTCCTTCCTCCCATCCCTCCCTCCCTCTCTTACCTTCTTGTTCTTTCTCTCCTGTCTCTGTCTTTTCTTTTCTTTTCCCCCCTCTCTCTTTTCCTACCTTCTACATCTCCCAGAGTTCCACCAAAATCACAACCACAGTTAATGGCTCAATACTCTTTTTAAATCTCTGAGCTTTTATTTGTCTTTTGTTGGTACTTTTTTTTTCTTTTAAATAACTTTATGGGTTGTTTTTTCCAGATTTGAAAAGTAATTGCATGATGTCACAATTCAAATAACACAACTATGTGTGAAATAAAAATTAATAATTATTCTTCCCTCAAGAAAAAAAATTCTTGCTCTCTTCCCAAGAAGAGCAATGTTAACAGCTACACATGTGCTCTAACCTCTTCCGAGACTGACACAAATGTACTTAATATATTGGACTTTGGGGGCTGTACTTTTGTTTTGAAATAAAATGTGGCATGATAGACACTAGTATGAATTTTGCCTTTTTGATCTCCATGAAGCCAGGCACCAGTGGCTCAAACCTGTAATCCTAGCTACTCAGGAGACTGAGATCTGAAGATTATGGGTTGAAGATTATGATTTGAAGCCAGCCTAGGCAGGAAAGTATTTGAAACTATTATCTCCAATTAAACAGCAAAAAGACAAAAATGGAGCTGTAGCTCAAGTGCTAGAGCGCCAACCTTGAGCAAAAAAGCTCAAGGACAGCACCCAGGCCCTGAGATCAAGCCCCAGGACTGAGGTATGAGCACACACACACACACAACACACACACACACACACACACACACACACACACACACACACTGCCATGAACACTTCCCAAGCTAATAGTTGGACAGATAGACATAAGACAGGTAGGTAGGTAGCTATAATAGATGATAGATAGATAGATTGATACATAATAGGTAATTAGGCATGATTGATGATAAATAGATCGTAAGTAGATAAGATAGAGCAAGTACATTCTTTTAATGGGCACAAAGTATTCTATAAGATCGGTGTGTCATAATTTATTCAATCATCACCACCCTTTCCAACTCCTGGAAATTTGTGAATATATTTTCTGGCCTTTATTTCTGCAACAGATTTCTAGAAGTAGGATTCTGTGTCAAAGAAGACGTTTTTTCAGATGTTCAAATTGTTTATATTCAAACAAAATGAACCTCAGACTTTCAAAATGGCTAGTCCTTTTCTTCCTTATGTCAGATTTTGGTACAAACCTTTCAGGGTGTTTTGCGTATTTTATTTTCAAAAGCACACACATCATATCAAAAAGAAAAAAGAAAAAAAAACCTTGCTCCTGTCATCTATGCTTGTATAGTCATAAATAAATAAATGCTTAAGTTAGGGCAGCAATGGCCGACGTTAAATCACTCGGTAAATGTTTAGGCCTTGGCTTATGAAAGTAGTAATTCATCGTGGGAACTTCACCCCCATGGTGGCCACGTGACCACAGGAGTCACAGCTCTCCATTCTGTGACTCTCTCCCACGCGATGACTATATAGAGATCAGGGGCCATGTATTACTTAATTGTCAACAGTTAACCTTTAAAAGTATGTGGTAGGGAGACAAGTAAACAAATTGATGGCCATTTAGGTTTCTAACATCCACAAATTATTTGTATCACAATGAAGAATCCAGCTTGTCTACCCCAAAGACTGTGTCCCTTAAAAAAATAAAAATTAAGCTGGGCACTGGTGGCTCATGCTTGTAATCCTAGCTTCTCGAGAGGCTGAGATCTGAAGATCGAGGTATGAAGTCAGCCTGGGCTGGAAAATCTGGCTTTTATTTCCAATTAACCAGCTAAAAAACATCCAGAAGTGGAGCTATGGCTCAAGTGGTAGAATACCAGCCTTGAGCAAAATAGCTAATGGATAGTGCCCAGGCCCTGAATTCAAGCCCAAGTACCAGGACAAGAAATAAAAGATAAAAAAAAATTAAAGCTAAAAAATCCTATAAGCAATATGTGGTATTATTATACAAACCTCTCCAAAACATACTCTCCAATTGTTTTTCAATAGAATCATTGGCCGACTTCAGATTCAAAACAATAATTGCAAACTTCAAAAGAGAACAGCCATAAAGAAATACATGTAACCAATGAAGCTCCTTAAAATATAACCTTAGACTCCTCTCTCTATTCTAAAGACCTGAGTGCCAGCATAGATTGTTAAGACACAGCAAGTTCGATAGCAAAGTATGTGACATGCAATTAATCTCCATTCATACCCTGTTCTACTTGTCAGCAGACAAAGATTCTGCTTTAGAAGGAGATCTGAAGACTTCAATTAAAAACAGTCAGCTAACAAGAAAATAATCTAAGCTAAAGAAAGGTGGCAGGTGCAGAAATGAGTTGTTTACCGAAGTGTCAGTTTTGAACAATAAAGAAATGCACATCAAAAAATGGTGGAGTAGATTTCATTGCAAGCATCTGAAAATAAAAGGGAATTTTCTGCCAAGGTTGTACGCAAAGCTACAATATGGGGTAACAAGCTTGTAAATGAGGCTTCCTCTCGTCAAATGATAGACACCCCTAAAAAAGTACTACATTCTATCACCTGCCAAACAGTTGGAAACAAAAAAAAACAAAAAACTTCAACCTTCCTTTGCAAGTCTCTTGCACAAGCAGCAACAGGAAAGGGAAAGAAAGGCTGGTCAGCTTCCCCATAGAGGCCTACATGATGCTCTTTTACCCTATTGCTTGTTTTAGTCCTGAAGTTCAAGTCTTATTGGAGTCATAAGTGAAATGGACTTTGGAAACTTCACCTCAAAAGACATGTCTCAGGCTGGGAATGTGGCTTAGTGGTAGAGTGCTTGCTTAGCATGCATGAAGCCCTGGGTTTGATTCCTCAGTACCACATAAACAGAAAAGGCCAGAAGTGGTGCTGTGGCTTAAGTGGTAGAGTGCTAGTCTTGAGCAAAAGAAGCTCAGGGACAGTGCACAGACCCTATGTTCAAGCCTCAGGACTGACAAAAAGAAAAAGAAAAAAAATACCTTGTTGACAGAAGTGATCCAGAATGAGAATAGTGCTACACAGAGAAACCAAGAGGACTTACCCAATATTTGATTAGGAGCCATTTATACCAAGATAACAAGGTAATGGAGATATAAAACCAATTAACTTGAGAGAAACCAAAGAAAACAATACAGCTTGCCAAAAATATGACCTACCCAAAGCAGCCCATCTGTTAAATATGTGTCAAACATGTCACTTGGAGGCAAAAAGCCTTAGTTCTGCACAGTTTCCTCCTGGGATCCTTAGGCAACTGCAGAAACTAGGCCTCTGTCCTCCCAGAAAGGTGAGTTACAGAAAGCAAGGGACAACATCCTCATTGTGTGAAACAAGCCTACAGGGCGCTGCAGGGAAATGTGTGTAGAGCGTTTCAAGGGAAGCCTGGACTCTTCAAGGACCAATTAAGTGCTATAGTTTGAAGGAGAAACTATTACAAGGGGGACACAGGTCTATAATACTCAGGAGACTGAGATCTAGAAGACAGAGGTTCCAATACAACTAAAACAGAAAAGTTTAAGAGACTTCATGTTCAAAAAAGCCAAGCTAGAGGACCGGCTCAAGTGGTGACGTGGCAACTGTGAGTGAGAAAGCTGAGGGTGGACTGAGAAGGGTAGAGAAGGAAAAGAAGGGAGGGGAAAGGAGTGAATGGGGAGAGGAGGGGAGGGGAGGGGAGGGGAAGGGAGGGGAGGGAAAGGAAGGGAAGAGAAATTCTTTAGGTTAGCTAGTGGCAGTCCTAGAAGTCTGCAGAGTGGTTAAAAGAGGCCTGGGACTTGGCACTGGTGACTCATGCCTGTACTCCTAACTACTTAGGAGGCTGAGATCTGAGGATCACCAGCCTGGGCAGGAGACTCTTACCTCCAATTAACCCCCTAAAAAATCCAAAAGTGGAACTGTGGCTCAAATCAGCAAAGCACTAGCCTTGAGCAAAAAAGATCAGGGACAACTCATAGGCCCTGAGTTCAAGGCCCACAGCCAACAACAACAACGAAAAAGGAGGCCTGGGATTTCAGCACTGACAAGTCACAAAACCATGGCCAGGTTTGGCTCGCAGTACCCCTAAATCCCTTCACAGTCCCCTTGGGAGCCTCAGGGACCTCTGCACGGGAAGGGCCGATCTTCTGGTAAGAAGGTTGGCCTGGGAGGAGGAAGGAGGGAGGAGGTCAGGGGAGTCCTGGAGAGACAGGGACAGGTTGAAGAGCAGGTAAGGTGGCTGTAGAGGACCGAGAAGCCTGGCAGGTGGCATAGAGGGCTGGAGACACCTAGAGGAAAAGAGGAAGTGTGGAACTCGAGGTTGTGACCCAGACCTGGAGGCGGGAAGGGGGATGCACGCTCTAGAAGCATCCAGGATCTAGAAGGGGGTGCGCTGCGCCCTGCGCCCGTGGGGCTGCCTGGGCTGTGCCCGGGCGGCTTTTCCCGCACTTGGCCAGGGTCGGGGAACCTGGAGCTGAGCCCAGGACGTTTACCTTCCAGGAGCCAACGGATCTCATCTGGGAGGGCGACGGCCTGCATGGGGGCTGGCGGGAGAGGGGCTTGGGCCTGCGGGGACCGTGGGGGGTGCCGATGTCTCCAGGGACCCGGGTGTTGGGGCGCAGCAGCAGGGCGGGGCCGCGGGTGGCGCTCAGGAAGTGGCGCGCGCAGCAGCAGCAGCAGCAGCAGCAGCAGCAGCAGCAGCAGCGAGTCCCGGGGCGGGCGCAGGTGCTGACTGCACTCAAGCTGGGGGAACCCCCAGATGGAAAAAAACTGGGGCACAGGGAGCAACTTATCCTGCAAGGCCCGTGGCGCGCCCCTCGGGGCCTCATCACCAAAATAAAAGACTCCCCCAGACTCCCAGGAACCAGGGCTCTTGGAGACCCCATCCTAAGTCAGTCGACCTCCACTTAAGGTTTTAAAGGTCACTCAAGGTGGTGCTGAAAATGGGGCGTGGGGTTTGGGGGAGGGAGGCAAAGAGGAGGAATCTGAGAAAAGGGCGCCCCATCCATGCCGAGCCTAGCGCCCCTCGATTGCCCATCCATCCCCCCCAACACACACCGTGTTCCTGCCCAGCCACGATCTTTGTCCAAAGGGAACAATTAGAAGAGCCAAGAGTCAGAGGGGCACGACAGAAGGGGACACGGAGCCCCAGTGGCCTTTCCTCCCCCAGGCGGAACGGTGCCTGGAGGAGAAAGCGGAGGGCGCAGAACTGGAGTCTTTTTCCTTCTGACAGTAAAGGAAGGGAGGGAAGACGTGATCCCACAGACACGCGAGACTCACAGTGAACCTCTCCATGCAAAGCTTGGTATTCAGGTCCTGGGGCTGAAGATGTTATCTCCACCGCTATGCAGAATCCCTCTCTGTTATTTCTTAACCGCTGCCTATGAGTGACCTCAAAATCGTTTTATTCCACAAAAGAAAGAAGTACAGGGGCTGGGAATGTGGCTTAGTGGTAGAGTGCTTTCCTTGCATGCAGGAAACCCTGGGTTCGATTCCTCAGCACCACATAAACAGAAAAGGCTAGAAGTGGTGCTGTGGCTCAAGTTGGTAGAGTGCTAGCCTTGAGCAAAAGAAGCTCAGGTACAGTGCCCAGGCCCTGGGTTCAAACCCCAGGAATGGGGGGCGGTGGAGGAGGAGGAGAAGGAGAAGGAGGAGGAGGAGGAGAAGGGGAGGAGGGGGGGGGCTAGGAGGGCCAGGAGGAGGAGGAGGGCAACAATAATGGAAAAGACAGAGTGATGGGTGATAAAGCAGGAAAATGAACACAAGGAAAATGTGAAATGCCCGCGGGTGTGGATGCACCCAAAAAAGTACATGAGGCTCCAACAACCACACCAGATTTTGAATGGCTGCCAGGGCTTGGGGGTGGGGATAGGGGTCCAGAGTAAACAAGGACGGTAGAGTGCTTTCCAGCTTCGGGGACAGCTGGTCACACTCATCATATAGGAAAAAAGACAACTGTCAAGATGAATTTCCCATTTGTTATGAAGAGACTTGAAATCAGAATGGGGACTTAGAAGTCAGTTCAGTGGGGACTAGTGAGCCATTGGCATTTCTAGTTTGTTGGGGTATTGTCACACACACACACACACACACACACACACACACACACACACACACAGACTTTTTGTTTGTGTTTTGTGTTTGAGATAGGGTCTCACCATTGTTGCCTGGGCTGGCCTCAGACTCAAAATCCTCCTGTCTTCACCTCCCAGGTAACTGCAATTGCAGCCACCACACACACACATTGCACCTTTTGAACTAGTGACCTTACCCAGATGCTTGAATATGTCACCCTACATATTCTTCTCATCACTTCAATCATTTTTTCCCTTCAACAAAAACAAAACCAACAAAGAGGACTTTGTAGTCTGATTTACAGAATATGTATGGAAGATTGAGAGGCCTGCTTGGGTGATACTGGGGGGGAGGGTGAATTCAAGACCTATTTACTCAACTGGCATTCTACCATGTGAGTGACACCCCCTTCCTGGTTTCTGCTGGTTTATTTGAAGATGGAATCTCTTAAATTTTCTGCAGGGGTTATCCTTAAACCTTTCTGTTTTTCTTTGCTAGCACTAGGGTTTTTGAATTCAGGAGCTCAACTGGAGCTCTACCACTTGAACCATGTCCCCAGTACAGCTTTTTGCTGTTTAGTTTGGAGGTGAGTCTCATGGAGTTTCATGGGCCAGCTTCAAACTTTGATCTTCCAGATTTCAGCCTCTGAGTAGCTAGGCCATCCATGCCCACTCAGTTATCACATATATTTAAAAGCAAACGAGGGTATATGAGAACTCTGCAGTATTGTCATTATATTTTTTGTAGATTTAAAACTATTATGCAAAAAAAGAACAATCAGCAAGGGAAACAATCTCCCCTATATGTCACCTACTTTGCTTTTCCTTTTGACAATGGAAAAAATTGATTACCCATACTCTTCTTTAAGATACTGTATCACGTGTATCACATGCTCATTTAGCCCAGGAGCTGATAAGGGCAAAAACTCCAGGCTTCACTGTCTGTCATAGTTTACTCTTACTCAGGAGACAGCAGAAGCCCCAGGGTAGGTTTTCTCTGTCTATCCTTCCCCATATGACTCTCTGAGTTTTCCAGAGATGAGAGAGTAGAGGGAGGTGCAAGTCCGGTAGCGTTGTGTTGGTGACTGGCAGATTCCAATACGGTATTGTCATGGTGCATCAAGGCTCCTCCTTGCAGACGAGAACCTGCCTCCACACATGAGCGCGGCCCCTCCTTCATCATCTGACGACCCTGCTTCAGCAGTCAGCCTCACTCCTAATGACATTCTGTTAAATGGACAAATTCCTTTGAAGCCTTGTCCTTCTTTGAAATCCAATTTCGCAGGAAGCCAAATCTGATTGGGGGTAGCCATGGAAACCATGGAGTCTTCCACAAGGTAGAGAGAAGGAAGGCAAAAAAAAAAAGAAAAGAAAAAAGGGATAGTCAAGAGTCCTTTACGGCTCTGTCGGAAATATCAAAGAGATCTGGAGAGGTTGGCAGCAGATGAGTCCCTGCCCCGGCCCTGCTCTGTGTGGCTGGATACCATGTGCCTGTCATGAAAGAAAGCAGCCAGCTGTCTCTGCCCATGGGCGGGGGGGGGGGGGGGGGGGGGGGGGGGAGGGAATGGTGCAGAATACACAAATTCCAGGTCTGTCTGCCTCCCTCCTCTTCCCATCCCCCCCCCCAATTCCAGCAAGATCTTAGCATTTCCTTCTTAGCTGCCACACTTTAAAAAGCAAACAACAAAAGAATGACAAGGTTAAAGTATAAGGTCCTCAGCGATAAGAGGTCCTGGGGAGCAGAGGCCAAGAAATTAATCAGAAATTCCTTGTAATTAGATAAGATAAGGGTATCGAAAGAGAGGCAGACCTGCCAAGAATGGAGTCCAGCAGCAAAACTACACAGAGAAGACACCATCTTGTCCACTGGGACCTGTGGTGCACTGTCAGCAGACAGGAGATGCAGAAAATAGGGTCCATGTCAGCCTCTGGGCAGCTCGGAGATGCTGTCTATATGTCTCATGCTGGGGGGTGGGGGAGAGGCACTCACTAAATACGCATCCATGGAATGTCCATAGGGCTCAATCAGGAAGAAACAAAAGCAGCTGGCACCCAGAATGGCATGGGGTGGGAACAATTGCAAGCAAAGCAGGAGCCGCCTGGCACTGCTCCACCATGGGCTCGGCGGGTCTGGAGAGAAGGCTGTGGAGGGCAGGCTGGGAGACTTTCTCTTGAGCTGGTTATTGATCCCTGCATCCTCGGCCACGACACCTAGCCCAGCCGATGTCTGCCCCATGAATGTGCTGTCCCTGTCTCTCAGCCTCTTGGTCCCAACCCCATCAACTGGGTTTATTGACTCATTTATTGATGATGTTGGAGCCTAATGAGGACGAGAGCTGCACAGTTCATTAAAGGAAAGGAGAGATGAGGCATCCAGTTCGTGCCAAGAATGGATCTCACCATGTGCTTTGTGAGGCTCCTGAAATCAAGCTCCATGTGGCCTTGGAGGCAGAGAAGATAGGCAAAGATGCTAACTTGGGCACATCATTTCCATGGCTCTAAAGTACAGAATTTCTGTGACCTGCTAACCACCTTGCTCTGACTGACACATACACACATGGATCTTCACTCATCTCTCCTTTCAGCTCACACTCGTAGATTCTCTGCTGATAATATACACAATAGCATAAAAAGGTTCTGGGTTTGAAAAGAGAACATGCCCATAAGCAGGTTCTCAGTGAGATACAGGCTCAGAACAAGAATGAAAGACAATTAAAAGCATCTTCTCCTGCCTCCAGTGGCTCACTTCAGTAACCCTAGCTTCTCAGAAGGCTGAGAGCTAAAAAGCTTCCTTCAAAGCTAGTCAGGGAAGGAGAGCCTGTGGGATTCTTCAATTAACCAGCAAAAAGTAGAAGTAGAAGTGTGGCTCAAGTGGTAGAGTGCCAGCCTTAAGTGAAAAAGGTAAAGGATACTAAACCTAAGTATGGGCACCAAAAGAATAGATTGATTAATTAAGAATCTTCAAGGGGATCAAGATAAAGATCCTTGCCCCAGTGGCTCTACTCAGGGCCCCTAACCAGGACCTGTGCTGGCATTGGGTCCTGGAGCCAGCCTAGCACTCTTATAGAACTAAACAATTCATAGGCTGAGGACAGCTCAGTTTAGGGATCGCTGAGCAGCTGTGTGAAGCAAACACTTGCTTGTCCTCCATCTAAGTAATAACCTCTCAGTCTTTGTTCTTTATCTTATCTTTCTCTCAGGCTATTATTTATCCACTTTCCCCCTAATTCCCTTACCCCCTTTGCTATCTTCTTTACCTATCCCTGAGACTACATTAGACATCTTCTCCCCACTCCCCCCCACCTTGGACCCTGATGAGCCCAGCAGAGACCCCAAAGACCAAAGAGGTTGCTGACGCTGACATTTTCTGTCTTTGATTGGCCCTCCTGGGAATCTGCAGGGGGGCTGAGGGGGACTCAGAACCCGTCAGCCACAGCCAGATGAGACAGTGCTCTCTGAGTGAGATGTGCAGCAGTCTACTGCTTAATTTGCATGAGAAGCAGATGGGGCCGAGGCCAATTTTGCAGGCTGCATATTGGCAAACATGATAAC